CGCATAATACACAGATCATGCTCAATAATTTATTTCAATTGTGGATGTGTGTCTGCAAGCAGAACAGAAGCAGAATAGCCACTACTTCCTCGGTGCTGCCTCTGTTTGGCTTAGACCAGAGCAAAAATCCATAATAGCCTCAGACAGGTCACTAAAACAGGGGGGCGCTCTCAGCTGTTTGATCAGGTGATTTTAGGGCAGACATGTCAAAGGATGTTCATATAATCCTGTATCCATCATCAGGCTGCTAGTGTCCCGGAGGATCCAGAGGGCAAAGGAGGGGGAAGGGCACATCTGGGATAGAGACTATACAGTAATAATGAGAGTGTGCATTAAAGCATATACTATTTATATCATAATCCATATGTTTTTATGACCTCACACATTCTTCATAGCCTGTTTGAGAGCTCTGGCAGAAAAGCAGGCTACTAAAGCACACCGCCCACCAACACAGACTGTTTTGTGTTCAGTTCATATCAGTATTTATACTATGGAATCAACTTGACTATGAATTTAAAAAATCCGCAAACATCCACATGTTTAAGAAAAAAATCAAAGCAACAACAGTGAAATCGTACGAAATGAATGATTAGAAAAAAAAAACAATAAAAAACAAAGAATTATGAAAACAAAAACACATCAAATAAAAACAGTTTGAAGAAGTGCCAAAGGCCATCTTATTTTTTTCTTTTTTTAAATTTTTTTTAAATTTAATTTGTACATGTATGAAGAAAGGGGCAGGCAACATAAGATTTTTTTTCTTCTTTCTGCTCCTTTTTCATTTGTGAGACAAGACGACAATTATTTGAAATGTAACTGTAATATGTGTAGTATTGTTTTTGTCCACAATTGAAACAAATAAATAAATAAATATAGTTTGCAGGTAATTTTTTTATTTTAATCATACCAGACAGTTTCGACGGCCACTATTTGAAATTGGTAAGAGCTGGGTTTTATCTCCAACGGTCAGATGTGTTGGTTTCTGTGTCCGGAGGCAGTTCTCAACTATGTGTAAGGTAACGTTTATGGGAGTTTTTGTGAACAGGGAGACCACATTGTGTGGGATAAATACGTAACATTTTGTGGTGTTTAGCTATTTCGGCAGTTGTTTTGAATGTTCTTGCAAAGTTGTTGAGTGTGGCCTGACACTGTTAACACTGTTAAAAACTTCATCACTATAACATCATGATTGTTGAATTTAGCAAATCACAGAGTTCATTGTTTGTGATTGAAAGTGTTATTTCTTACTGCATTGTTGGCCCTCGCTAGGATTGTAAAGTCATATGTTTCTTCATAGAGAAAGGGCTTCCAGTATCCCAAGCAACAACAGGATGTGTGGTGATTATCGTAATCTTATTGCAAAAGGTCAAACTTCTTGAAACTGTTTGAAGTGCCGAAATGAAGCGCTGGGTGTTCGACGATTAATCTTTGCAAAATAATTAGTAAAGTTCAAACATTTAACATGCAAATATGAGCCAGGCATGGATATACTACTGTGGCTTTCTCTGGCAGAGCTGAAAGATAAGTAGATGACAGGACAGGACATTGACTCAACCTCTGATTCAAATAACATTATTGAATTCTCCGCCGGGCAACCTCTGAATCGTTTTGGTTAAAAGCAATCATACGCTGATTGTTTGTTTTTTACCAGAGCTTCTCTGTTGTCATCAAATACTACTTCCACTAATACAGAGAGCTGAGCAGCTGTAGTCTCACTGGGGTTTCTATAAATGATATAATTAAATCTTATACATTGTACAATAATTAAATTGTTTTATACTAGCGTCTGCTTATAATATCCGTCTGATCCATCGAGCACTTTGTGCATGACCTCTTGTCGAACAACAATATTATTGTTCAGCTATTACCATTTGATCTGCTCTTCAAAGTTGTTAAATGTACGCACATATAATCAGCACTTCAATTCAGCCTTGCTTTTTCACAGAAATAGTTTGTGTAGGTCTCTCAATATGTAACTTATTGATAATATATCATTTCTAGATTAAAGGGTTGCCTTTAGTCATCAGCAGCAGCCGTGACTGGATGATGCTCCAGCTGTAGGTGGGGGCAACCTGGAGGGCACACTTTGTATCTTGTGAGTCATTGACACTCACTGTAACAACATGCTGCCAGGACATGAAATGTTGTTTTGATCTCAAACACATATTAAACATACTCTATTCAATATGTGTCTTGGAGCTGTGACATGTCCGGCCACCTCATGGTTACAGAAGTGAAAATCATTTCATTCATCAGACAAATGTCATGGAAAATATATATATAAAAAAGCTTAATCAAGGCTAATCACCTTTGTGAATAATGACAAGAAGAAAAATGACTGTTTCTGAATCACAAAGTTAATAATATCCTGCTGTAGATTGTAGTGACCACAAACCCGCCTCTGTTGGGCCTTCAGACTCTAATATTCGAAAGGTAATTTCACTTCTTGAGCAGAATGCTGAACTCTGCACTTTCCAAAGATATTGTGGCTTTGCCTGTAGTGTTTCAAAGTGTGGCATTCCAACTATGTTTTAAAACATCAAATGTTTCTCTACAAACTGTTCATGGTCAGAAAGTTGTAATCTTACTTCACTCTTTCAAATATACCTTTTTATATTCATGTTTTTAAATTATTTTTGAAAGGAAAGCCTTTTCAAATCGTTTGTTTGAAAAGTGCTGTACATTTTTGCTAATGTGTATTTGCTGAAAAGGAAAACATCTCCCTTAAAACATTATGTGTGTATCTGTGTTTTCCGCTTGTCTCCATGGCGATACAGTGTGTTTAATGCCATACAATGTGTTATTCCTGGAAAAACTATAACTTTTGGACAAGCAGGTGGTCAATTTTCAGGCGATCAATAAAAAGTTGCATAGTGCTCCTTATAATCGCATGAATGAAGGTCCTTGAGCACTAGTCTTTGTAGAATTTGTATCATTTGTAACATGCTAATAAGCTGGTGTTTGGGGATGAGCTGTAATGACCCACACCTGTTAGCTCTGTGTTAGCTGCATATGAACAAGTCATGCAGCATCTTTTACCCTTGACTCATTACTGTGGCTGCTATACTCTCAGCTGGCCTATAGCTACATTTAATTTGAGCTTTTCTAACTGAACAGAGGCCTTCGAGGTAATATTGTTCAATTTCCCTAAAGGGACTCTTTGCTTTTGAATCGGAGCGTCTTGAGTGTGTGTGTGTGTGTGTGCCTTTTTTCCTTTTCAGTCTTTTGATCTATTCCTTTTGACATAGAAAACCCTTTTGGTCTCAATTTCTGTTTTGTTTTATTTTGTGACAAACATACAACATGCAAGGTTGTGGTAGCCGAGATCTTGGAGACATGCTGTGTCATTGTGAAATAGTATTTATTTAGTCCTTTAAGTTGTATACCAAATGCATTCAATCCACACTGTGAGGCAGAATTGTTTTACTGGCATTTTTTTTTTTTGGCTTGAGTATTCATTATTCATGTCATTTGTCGACAGAAAATTGCTTTGATTGTTATCTGTGTTGAAAGCAAGAAAGCTTGGCATGGACCGGCTCACCTCAACCGGCTTTCATTGGCTTGAATGAGTCAGCTGTCACAGATAAGTCAAACACGTTTTAGCCTGACTTCACACGCTACAATCAAAATCCCTTCACCAGCAAGTCCTCAGAGGGCTTCGTCACAGTTAACAGGCGCATTTTGAGAGGGAAATATCTTGTAAATGTTATTAACCTTTAGCTGCCTTCTTACGCTTTGATCTTTCAGCGCTATCTATAATCTGTGTTAAACATGCTTACATTGTACGGTGCATCTGAATCAGATTCATACAGATTTGCGTTGGTTCTTTGTTTTGAATGTTACAAATGGAACATATGGCAGCCCCAAGGTTCTATAGAGCCCATCCTTTCACTTTCTATATAACACTTTTTTTAAACATGTACTTATTTGTCAGGTTGATATGCAGTACATGTTAAAATATGGGTTGTGCAGGTTCAAAATAAAATCATCTAAAAACACGACCTCCTATTAAAAGGGACCAAAGTAAATTATTTTGTCTCAGATCCCTAACTGTCACAAAGGTAGTTGTGGATATGTACAGCTGTGACTATGTGAGGAGGGTTTAGACATATAGTACAAGTCACTGTTTATTTCAAACGCCAGGAAGGGCATCTGGTTTGAAATGTGCCAACAGCACTTGGATGGAAGTGGCAATTTGTCTTGGACGGAGGACTTGTGTATCTCCATGTATTTGACAATTCCTTTGCAATCTACAGGGTGTAAATATATTGTATACGGAAATGTAATGTAATGTTATCCATCCATGTTTTTGGAAATTCATATGACAAAAGGCCTACATGTACAGGTTAAAAATAAAAGGTTAAAATAGATGAATGACATCAAAGTAAAATAAAACAAAACCGCAATTGCTAATAAAAGAGTAAAGATTATCTGGCAAAAACATGCCCAGCCCAAGGATCTGTGTGTTGGCTGATACAATTATAGGGTACTTTTGTTGCCCCTTATGGCGAGTATTTTAATTAGAAAAATAACCATTAGACACCATGTATATTTATTGCGGTATGATTTAGGTCTAAGCTGGGGTTGCACAGTTTAGAACTACAACACTATGTAATACAATCACTTTAACTATAGAGCACATCTTTAGATCAGCTTTTCAGAAAAGATAAACATTGCATGTTGTGGTATTTGTGCGTAACCTTTTCTTTTTACTACAAGACACTGTCGGGGAAAAAAACATGCATTATTTATGAAACAAAAAGTTAGGCTCCCCAGCCCTAAGCAAATCAAACATTCCCGTGTCAGAGGACCGTTTTAGGGTATGACCTGTCTCTGCGTAAAGTATTTATGCAGGATGGCGCGATCGGGGGCGTGACTGCCATTTCTCAGAGCACACTGAAGTCTCATTAGCCCTGGGTCACAGTGCTGGATACCAAAAAAAAAGCCACACCTAGAGCTATGAACCCCCAACTTACCATTTAACTAGTCCATCATAACTCTCAACCCGCGCTCCCTTCTCGCGCAGTGCTTTCCTCCATGGCAACTGATAGTTTGGAGAGAAAGCAGGATTGGTCAACACCGGCTGACCGCGCCCTCAACCCGTATGAGCTACCTACCCAAACTAATAGCATCAAGTGTCGGGGGAAAGACGGAGGCGCTGCTGCTGCTGCTTGAACTGGCTGTGCTCTGCGTGTGGAGGAGGAGAGAAAGCATCTTTGTCTGAGCGAGCTGCAGCGGGAGCCCAGCATCAGCACCAGCAGCGGTTCCACATCCACACTGAACCACACGCACGGAACAACAGCGCGCTTCTGAGGACACGCTTATCTGCCGCATTCTTCACCCTAGGAGCCCTGTTTGTCTTTTCTGCATGGAATAATACCCCCCTCCTCCCGCCGGTGCTACCCATGTGTCGGATCCACGGATGATGCACAGGTAAATGGCACCGCACACCTCCATCCTCTTAGGACAGGGACAAGCTGGGGGTTTAAGGCACTAAAGGTGTTCGTTGTTGTAAGCCCCGCTGTGTCTGTGTGTTGATATGCGCCTGGTTCAATGTCAGACATCAGGATTTGTTTGGACTCCGGTTGGGGAGATGTTGGTGAATGCGCACGCAATTATTGACACTTCCACGGAGGTGTCTTTTTAAAGAGCGTCTATTTCGCGCTGTTGTGGGAAACGTGGGTCTTTGTTGTGTGTTTTTGAGTGAAGGTAGGTGGAGGAGAGAGGTAGCTTTCCCCAAAAAACCTCATGGTTGCGGATGGGGTGGCTTAATTGCGCGCCGGAAGAGTAGACGTGCCTTCACTGGGGCTACACTGGTGGCTTTTGCAGCATTACGGACAGAAGCTCTGTGTCCTATTGTTTGATGTGAGCACATGCCACATACTGGGCTGCTTTTCAGCTATACTCATGTGAATTCGTGTTTAAGGGCCCTTGTCTAAGGGAAGCTGGGGGTGGTATTATTGAGAGGTGTTTCATGTTGTATGCCAAAGCTGTGGCCAGTTGTGAGATAAATGGAGGAGAAGACAGAAACAGCAGATGGTCTGAGCAGCAGAACAGCTCACTGCCAGATCTGTGTGTCTTTTTTATAGCCCCAGAGGTTGGGGGAAAGTTGAAATTATATCAAGACAAACCAAGAACCTAATCTCACACCCCCAGAAGAGCTGCTGCTGCTGCCTCCACACTGCTCACTCATGGCACCGGCTCAAGCAGCTGGAGGTTAGGGCCATATTTGCTCATGCTGAAGTTGTCAAATGACGTGATGCAGAGGAAATAGCAGATAGAGATACTCAACAAATAGGTAATTGGACTTAAATAAGCTAAGAGGTATGCCTTACTTTCAGAAGAAAACTGCTAAACTGGAACCAAGGAAAGGGTAATTTGAGGTGTGACAAAGACTGAACCAAGACAAAAAACAAAATGTAATTTGACTATAAAGAGATGGCTGCAACTGATTAGGGTACGTGGCATTTGTGATCCTCCATGACCAGTTTGCAGACTATTTCTCTACTATGTCAATACATTTTCTTCTGAAAGCTCATTGATAGACCGACCAGATATTTTCTCAAATGATGACAGGGCGGTGCCTAACCCTGAGATACACCCTTGCGCATCACCTACACGCGTCCGTGCCCTCCATGCACCCCTGTTCCTCCATTTGCAATTCAAACAGCCTTCCTCTTGGACAGTAACAAGTGCAGTAGTTTCCCAAGAGCTACGAGAGGAGAATATGTGCTGCACAGGTGAAGGCCTAATGAGCAGTGATTTCCTGTTTAGATGAATTAGTCCTTAATCGCATCAAGGCTCTTGTTTTAGGGAGACCCTCATTTATGGATGAGTCGGTGTCTTAAATTATGTGAATTAGTTGTCTGTGAGGTAAAACCCCTGGTGTTTTACAGGACTCAATAACTTAAAAGGGGCTTTATTCATCAACAATTCTCCAGGCGTCTTAATGAGGAACTCTGTGTCTCCCGTGACACAGGGATCATCATGAAATAAGTTATTTTTTAAGTACTAAAACAACAGGGTGTGCCACAGCCCACTGTTAGTGTCTGTTTTCTTTGAGTGTTTTTTCCCCCGTGGTCATGCTTAATTTCTATTTCCATCTCATGGAAGATCGCACATGTATTTCTGTTCCTGTCGCCTCTCTTTTGTCACAAGACGTGCTATTACCAAAATTGTATGCACCAATGCAGTATTTTGGTGCCTTCAGAGCCAGCCATCCATATACCAACACTCATGTGGAGCTATGATCTCACTCACACAACATCTATTTCCACAGAAACTTCCTGTGGGATGTACTGGATTGTGTTAGACATGTAACAGGGGGAATCAAACCAGAGCTGCTACAAGTATAACACCAATAACGACTGAAATGATCATAAGGAGGAAGTTGTCAGCAGAGCACAAATGAGCGAGGACACAAAGGCTTTCTAAGAAACGATAGAGGGGTCTAGACATTGTTTCTCCACCAGGAAGACCATCCTATCCCATCTCTGAACCATGCATGCATTATGTATACCGAGGGACTCCTTGAAACGCTCACATACAGTGGCGTGATAGTGCATGTAAATATACGGTACAGGCTATTAGTGCGAGCCCTGCCTCTGTCATTTCATGCTGAGACTGCTCGTTGTATGGTTGCGAATAAAATGCCAACAAAGGCTGAAGCATTTTGGGCTAAGTAACCAATGTTCTGTCCTCTGTTCCCTCACAGATTTTTATGGATTTTTCTACCTGGGTAACCACTACCTCCACCCCACCAAAGATACTTCTGATAGCATGAGGCCGCATAAGTGGCTGAGGATTACATGACAACTAAAGGAGGTTATGAAGTACTAATTGAGCGTACTAACAATAAGCTATACTGCAGTAATATCTCCTTTTTAATGACATATTGTTTCTTATGGATGGGTTTATGACTTTTAAATTACAGTATGCAAATGGGTGGTGGTTTGATGGGTTGACGTGAAGGTGGAGGCTGAAATAACAGGCGCGGGTTGACAGGGTGCGTGTGTGTGCCACGGCTCAATAGCTCGTGCATACATTCCGAGGCAGGGGAAGGTTACAGATATTGTGTGGCATGGCGAATTGTGTCTCTTCCTCTCTATCATAGCCTATCAAGGTCACATGGGCAGACGCAAAGTGGTGGCCCTGGCCTTTTTCTCTGCTGGCTCTGTGGTGGAGGAAGATCGGCCCGCGGTTGGCTGCTGCTTTTAATCAGGCCTGACGTGTGACTCAGTCGCATGCCAGCTGTACCGCCACAACTAGGATTTTATTCACCCTGGATGGTTCAAAAAAGTCAAAAAAGGTCATTGTGAAGATCATGGTTTCGAAGATCCTCCAGGCCTGGTTATTTAAATATTTGTGAGTTGTCCTTGAGGCCCTTTGCAGAGGGAATGAGATGGTTAATAAATATGCACTCACTGAATACAGTAAGATCAAGGGCTCTTTGTAACAAAGTGCAATAAAAGCACTTCTTACACAAGATCCCAAAAAAAGGAAAATCGATACAAATTATTGGATTGAATAACCGTGAGCAAATATAGACACTTTTCTGTCATTGATTAATAAACAATGAAACATCTTTAAAATGAACTAAACAACAAACGTAAAGAGAAATATATGTACACAACAAATAATTTGCTATATTACAGCAGCCATTGGCATTTTTCAATGCAGAAATAATCTAATTTCAATTTATCATACTGCACTTTGATTTGGTGTATAGTGTAACAATACAATGCTAAAGTATGACAGTATTTATCATATAAGAGGGACAATGCACTCATTACACATTGAAGTAAGTAATCTTTATTTATATACCGCCTTTCACAGACCAGAGTCACAAAGCGGTTTGCAAATGTTATTTTTGGGCATTTGTCTCTCACTCCACACAGAGATGGGAGCGAGGTCGCCAGTACAGGAGCATGCCAGACCTATTGTACCTATATTGAAGCTTATTATTCTTTGCTTGACCGTGACTTGACCTCAGTAGTGTGCCACTAATATGCCTCTAGTTTTGTGTTTGTAAGTGTTGAAAATTAGAAATTTATATTTTACACATTGTATAAAAAGTCACTCAGAGTCATCCAGGAGGGGGGCAAGCAACATGGTTTCTGTTTTGTTGTTATCATGCTCTGGTCTCATACAGGCTGTTCTTTCTGGTCTTTAAAGTAGAGGTTTTCTGGTACATGCAAAGGGAGATATTTTACATAGTGTACATTAGTAGATACAGAATAAGAATGGTCTATTGATTGACCTATTGATGACTCTGACTCCTTGTGACATGATCCGATAACCTATGTAAGGTCACCTGTTTATGGGGTTTTATGTACTACCGTTTTGGTCTAAATGCATTGGCGGCATGCTTTTATGTGAATGCTTAATCAGTGACCCGCTAATCTGTATTCAAAAATATTTTATTTTTCATAAAAAGCATGTATTTATATGAAGAAGGCCTGTCATAAGATTTTTGGGCTGGGTAACTATCGTCAAATCTTTACCATCAATTTAAAATTGCAATTGTCCAGTGTTAATTCAAGATTATATATTTTTGCCATATCGCCCAGCACTAGTCCGATCTTATGTGGCTCGGTAGCTTTTGTTTATGTGAACAGAAGAGAGAGCCAACAGGAGGAGATGCACAAAATACAAGGGAATATTTTGACTCCATCCAGGTTTAATAACTATAGGAAATTATTAGGAAAATAGATGGGGAACTGAGTCCCGACATGGAAACTAACAGTTAATGTTTGCCTGCTATTTGTGTTTTTTAAGAAGCTTTGATCATAAAGGTGTTTATGCACATATACCAATAGTGCATAAAACACCTCACCATTAATTCATCTCTAAATGAACTTGCTGGTGCAGTTAATATACAGGTGCGCTTGATAGTCCAGCAAATCGTGTACTTAGTTAACTTCCGAGTAATTCTGATGTAAAACGGCTTCTGACCAGTTCCCTTTCTTAGACCTCCCACTGATTGGGGAATGGTTGATTGATATTGTCATACATCAATGAAATAATAGCAGGCTAAATTGCCAGTTATTTTCCCATCAGGTGGTGCAGTAGGTGGAAGAAAGTTGACTGTGGGCTGCAATTTCTGAATGCGTGCAGCGTACAGTATGACACTTGCTCATATAAGGCTTGTCACAGCAGCAAACATGTTGATGACAAATGTTTGACTAAAAGCACAGTTGAAGTACAGGGTATACACATGCTATAGATGGGCGGGGGTTGGACATATATCTGTATATATTGTTTGCATATTAAAGTGTTATTATTGTTGGGGAATGTTATTTGCCTATAAGTGTGAATTTCAATCACTTGATGCAAGTATCGGAGGACAAACTTCTATGAGATCTCATGAGTCATCAAGAGCTGCATTTCAGGCTTTTCATTTTTCAATACTGCTTTTTTGTGCTGCATGATTGACAGAGTTATGTGCCGTCAAAACA